CGAATTCTTGGTTTAGATCTTCTGCCCATAGCTCAGCGTTCTTACATTTAGAGGCATATGGTACGATAATTTGGTACTTGGTCTAAAATGCTAGCAGGGTGCTATATAGTGGGGAAAATGGCGAAAAAACGAAGTGAAACGGTCAAAAACCTGCGAAGAAAAGCCTTCGTTCTTAATGACTCGAAAGCAATTTCGGACGAGTTTCCCGTAGGCATCGTGCCAATAACCGCTACGGTAGATACGGCTGCATGTATGTACTCATATATCCATGCAGCACCGCAGCCGCTTCATATCAATCCCTTCGCTTCATATTTACTTTGCAAATGAAGCAATACCAGCATCAGCATCGGTCGTCCAATGGGCGGGCTAGCTACGTGAACGTTCGGGTCGATATGTCATCTTCATGAGGCGCCATAGAGTTACCTTTCTCGGGAAAGGCGCTACACAGCGTCTGCTCAGGGGCGCCAAATTCTGTCCTGCTAGGCTTATTTATCCTACACGTCTTGGGGATTCATGCCATCTGCCTTCAAGATAACTAATATTTTCCAATCCGCCTTGAGATGTACTTCTTATCCCTGAGCCAGAGTAGGCGTGGCATTTGAACATGGCACGGAACTGGTTACTCGTGGAATATTCCAGTCTGGGACAACTGTCATCTTGTTCTGTATTGGACAGACAGAGACACGACAACAATTGTGTCAAGATGAAAATATCTCACCAGAAGCATAGACACCTTCACGTTAATGTTGAAATCATGGCGGCCACGCCTACTACAGCTTGGCAGATCGTAAATGTAAATGAAAAGATGAAGCGAAAGATTGCACCCCGTCATTACAGAGACGAAGGGAAAAGATTTTTCTTCTATCGCCTGTCACAGTCATTTCACGGCTTATATACATATGTAATTTGGCGTTGAGCTGTTTGGGAGTTTTTGTTAATGAGTCACACTTCGTGCTGTCACAGTAGGTCCTTTGTTTCAGCTGACCTATTCTCCACTTTTTTACCCGAAAGACCTGTTAGGGACCTTCTTTTCGTTTTCAAGCTGCTGTTCAGAAACTTATGTACCAATTGTATCGTGTTCTTTATGATATTCGCTCTTTTCGTCCTTAAGGTTGTCCAGATTATAGAACTTCCGATTCAGAAATTTTATTTAGATGACGGCACAATGGGCAAAACGGACAGTATTAAGGTTCACGCCCGTCAGTCTACTGCTCACTACGCTTGCAGTAGCCCTTGCTATAGGCCTTTCCATCGGTCTGACCTATCATTTCACAAGAAATGCCTATGATCCTTCACGCAAGGACAAGTATGTGTTTCTTCCGGGATATTCAAGAGCTTTATTTAACAAGCAGAATAGATCCGCTGTGAATAATCTTGAATACTTCGTACTGATTTCTTTCAGAGATCACCATGGCAGCGATGACAATTCTCCATCTGCTGCAGAACTACGTCTTCCAACAAGTATAAAACCGTGTAAGTATTGAGCTCGCCGCTTTGCTCACTACATTAGACGCATCTACTGGATTTCTCAAGTGACTGCAGTATACACCTAGATGTGCTCAGGTCAACTTGTTCGGTGCGGCTGTTGGGGAACACCAAGAGAGATGGCTTATTTGTGCGCGGCGCCAGCCCTCTCTCTCTCCGCCAAATGCTGATGTGAAGAAATGGCAATAGTTGGTGGAGAAAGGGATGGCCACGCTGAAAAAAACTCCCTTGACACGCCCCGTAACACCAGCGAAGACTGTATCCACACTCCTTAATCCCTGAGACGGAGTAGGTGTGGCCTTCGAGCGCTGCATAGAATGGGTTGCTCACATCAGTTTGGAACAACTGTCATGTCTTTCTGTGTTGGACAGAGACGCAACCCCGATTGTGCCAAAATGGAAATGTCTCTCCAAAAGCATGACCACCTCCACGGATAGTTGAAGTACGCAGCCACGCCTACCTCATCCCAGGGATTTTGAGAATATGAAGCTCCGCCCATTCCGTGGCATTAGCTGATGTCTCGTGATCTTATGCTCAGTGGTGCGCGAGTAAATAGATTGTAGTCATTCTCTTTGCAAACAAGAGGGCGAGACGGCGTGTGGAGGGTGTGGCACCAATTGGTGGAGCAGGGTGCCGTGGTTGCACAGTAATCCATGCCCCTTGTACGGGCTCAGGTTTACAGCGATAATGACTGTTTGTTGAATCGTAAGTGTTTCAGTCGATAGTTATTTCCACTATTTCAGTATTATACGACTTGGTCATCAAGACGTATCTGCCTGGCTATGTGAATTTTCCCCCAGAAAAGAATCTCACATTTGATGGGCAAGTGAATATTTCTATGGTGGTCGTCGAACCAACTAAAAGTATCGTTCTCAACGCGAAGAATATCACTGTGATCCCCGAAAAATGCGAAGTGTCCTCGGTGAGTTCTGCGAATTTTCTGGTGATATGGAGAAATATACCATTAGTGACACAGGGCGGTGTAGTGGCAAATGTGGCGCTTACCACTTCAGAGGTGCGCGGGCGAAATCCCGGATGGGTTCCTCCTCAGGCCAACCAAACCTTCTACCCTCCAGAGATGGTAGACTGGTACCAGACTCGTAATAAAGGGTCTCAGCTGGGGTTTCGAGAGCCATATGCTTTGAGTCATTTTTATGTAGCAAATTTTGTCTTGTCGGGATATTCCTAGAGCAACCTTGTTTTTAGGTTAACTCTCCAGAAATACATCCTTGTTCTATTCTTATACTGGGGCGTGTCGGGAGCTGGTTTTGACGTTTTCCAACCCCATTTTCCAAAACTGTTTGTGGTTTCGCGTTCAGAAATAACCAGAAAACTGGCAGGAAACACCGCCCTATGATACGGCCCACGCTGCCGCAGCAAAATGAGGTCATCGCGGCTTACTCCTTTTTGCCCCTTCTGGTCGATACCAGTTCCTCAAAAAAACCTCAAATAGTTTGGGATGTTATTGTAGCACACAAGGTTCAGAAATTCAGGGTGATCAAAAACTTGATATTGAAAGTGTGATGGTCCACGAAAGGCTTGAAAAGCTGGAATTTCTCTTAAAGAAGCGTTTGGAAAAGGATCAGGAAATTGTGCTCAAGGTTGGTGATTTCTTGAGCTCTTTTGGGTTTAGTACACCATTATTTAATCCACATAACTGCATGAAATTCAGGTAAACTACACCGGCCTCATCAGCAACACCCTTGGTGGACTCTACCAGGCTACCTATACTACTGCAAATGGAACTACCAAGTAAGTTATCACTATTGTAGAGGAATACCTATGATGTGCGGATGTGTGGTTTCGGTGGGAAACTTCAAGAAGCTGGCAGTACAAGAGAGCTGACCCATGGGCTGGGCGCTTGATTGCCCTCAAAGCTCGAACTTGGACCTCACATTTACCGAGTACATGAACTTGAAGTTGAAGTTCATGAACTAAACGCTATGCCACAGCAATTGCCTTTGGACCTTTGAGCGCTTTTATCATGGAACCAGCTCAATTGCACCTTTCACTACCCATTTGCCGAAGAGGTCAGTCAGGTCCTAAGTGCTACGCTTGAGTGCTGAGAAACTTTGGGGAAAGTCATTGGCATTGAAAGGATAGAAGGCGGACTCTGCCGCGAGAAAAAGATCCCTGATCTTGATTAACTCCTGTCTCTCAGTTTCACGCTTTCGCCCTCAACCTTCGTCGCCCTTATCATCCCCCCCCTTCCAGCACGCCATCGTGCGCCAACACCACCATTTCGCAAATCCTCGCTTGCGCTCTACCCTTGCATGAAACCCAGCTCTATGTAGTTCTTGGAGCCACCCCTTCTGCTTATAAATCAGAGATCTGAGTTTTTCTGGGAATAATCAGGAGCGAAAGTTAT